GCTGTTTTGTTGTTGATTGATTCTGTTAGCTTTTCACAAGTTAGTTCTGCTCTAGCATCTAGCACCATTTGGTGGGCAGAGGGGCCACTGCATTGTCAGGGCCCAGGTTTGGGCCCAGAGTCATCCAAAGGGCAAGCCAGAGGTCTGAACATATCATGGACACCTGACTAAATACCAGCAGAGCAGAGTGTGGCTATGTTCGGATCAATTACTCCGGTCTTCTCAGCTGCTCATCGCCAGCCTATGTGAGGGAATAGGGTTGGTGGGGAACATCACAAGGTTTGGAGTCTGAGACTTCCATCTCAGATGAAGTTGGTAGGATGTCTTCCCTGTGTACTTCTACTGGATCTTGGGAAAGCTGAAATATACACAAAGGCATCAAGCTAAGTAGGAAAGAGGAGGGAATAAAGGCAGACTAGACCTACATGAGTATTTTCTGAGCAGGACATGGATTATCTTGGTTAAATATAGTTTTCCTTTTGGTAACATTGAAAATTTTTGATATTTTGGTATGAAAACATAAAAAATTAATACCAAGAGGCTCTTTTTTAAGGCATTTCTTTTTTGTCATTTTTTTCCTTCTATTCTTTCACCACATTTTATATCAAATACTTCACCCACATTTTCTTTAATTTTCTCTTTTCTCCTATTTGTCTCTGTTGTTAATTTTAGCTGACATGGAATGACTTTGAGCTTTGGCTTCTATCTCTTGAGAACATAAATAAAGTGAAGTAAGCCAGACCCAAAGAACTATAGGTCCCATGGTTTCCCTCATCTGCAATAGTTAGTATATGTCTAGAATAATTTTATCAGATGAGCAAGAAAGGTCAAAAGCTGTGATGCTAAGCGAAATGAACCTCAAGATCTGGACACAAGAGATCTTTCTTTGTTGTTGTTGTTTTTAATGTACTATGCAATATTTTTGTTTCCTTTGTATGTTCTTCCCCTTGTCACGGTATTTGGTTTTGGCACCCTGCATCTTGTATATACATTTGTATAATTTGGGGAGGGTAAGAGGAATGACAAAATGCTGCAACAAGGACACAGGATGACCCATTGCAATGATGATACCCACAAGACAGTATATTGGAAATGAAGTTTACTACTTTGGGGGGTGGGGAGGAGTGAGGAAGGTGGAGAAGAGAAGAGATAGTGGGAGAACAACAAGGGAAGGGGTAACAGTGCTCGAAAAGAAATGTACTCATTACCTTACTCATGTAACTGTAACCCCTCTGTACAGCATCTTCACATCAAAATAAAAAAAGAAAAGAAAATGTAAAAATAATGAATGTTCTCACAGTGAAAATGAAAGACCAAGAAAACCAACTGAAGAGGTAACATCGATCAAAATGCATTGCACTCATAAACTGATTTGTTGAATAGCAACTCCTGTGTACCACTACTTAAAGATAATAAAATTTTTTTAAAAAAAGGATATTCAGCTGAGGAACTATGAGAGAAAGTACCCTATTGTATTCAGTTTGTTCAGATAAGAACTGGAGATGAGTTGGGGTATATTCTCTGTTGTGGGTGAGTTGTAGTAATTGTAATACTGTAAATTCTTTAGCACTTTAGAGATACAATGTTTTATGTAGATTTTCTCATTAAATGCACAGTAGCAGGTTTCATCATTGCTTCCTTTATTTATTTATTTATTTTTGGTGCCGTTCATAGGATTTGAACTTAGGGCCTGAGTGCTGTTCCTGAGCTATTTTGCTCAAGGCTAGTGCTTTACCACAGCTTCACTCTCAGCTTTTTTTTTTTTTTCCCGAGTGTTTTATTGGAGATAAATGTCTCATGAACTTTCTTGCTTGGGTTGGCTTCAAATTGCATTGCTCAGATCTCAGCCTCCTGAGTAGCTAGGATTACAGGCATGAGCCACCAGTTTCTGGTCATTGCTTCCATTTTATGCTAAGGAAATTGAGGCAGGGACATTAAGTAATTACCAAAGGCATACCAAAGCCAAGAATGAAGTAAAGCCAAATTAGTCTGATTCAGAGTTGGACTTTTCTTCTCTGGCTCATTTGTGTGTGAAGCTGTCTTTTGAGTATGCTTTAAATAGTGGAGAGTTTGGCAAGCCTTAGCCAGAATGCCCAGGTGGAGTGTTTTCCAGAGTTTGAATGCCCCCTAGCCATTAGTTTCTTCATATAAAGTGCCCTTGGTACTTTGTATAGCTGATGCTAGACTGAGGCAGTAGATTGAGGAGGTAAGCCAGCTGATGTGCAGATAAAACCCAGTAGAATACCAGCCAGCACTTACTGAGCACCTGCTATATCCTATTCTCTTTGGCCAGGGCCAAGAGTAGTCAGGAAATATTTAGCATTGCCTCTATAGGCAGACAAGATAAAGAACATAGCTATCATGGGAACAGAAGGTTGGTTTGTTTGCTCATCATTGTCTTCCTAGGACCTAACATAATGTGTGGTCAGAGTAAATGGCTTCACAGATTGCTGCTAGAGCAATGAATGGATGAAAAGATGTAGATTTCTTGGCACCTTGCAGGCCAGAGAGCAGGGGATATTGTTGGCTAGGCTCAAGTGACTTGCAGAATATGGCTGCAAGCTGACAGCAAGTAGTTTGGTAAGTGGGACAGAAATTGTTTCACGCAAATAGTTTGTTGGTCATTATTCTCTTTTAATCCCATAGAGAATGAAACACCCCTGCCATTCCCCTTCCTTCTCATATACTGTTAACTCATTGCCTATTTGTTACCTGCCAAGCTCATTTTATCTCAGTGTAGCTCAATTTTATTGGAAAAAAATTATTGTGGGGACTATCCCTGGTGTGGAGTGTCTCAGAGGCCAGCCCCAGGTCTGACTTGCTTCTGCAGTCACATAGGCTGGTGGTCAGCAGAACTGTGAGTGAGACAGGGTTACTGATTCTCACATTCACTGTCAGCTCAGTTGGCGCCCACAATTGTGACATGCTTGGACTAGGCCAGTTGACCTTTGGATGTATTTTTACCTGGAGATATCTTACTTATGGCAATCCCTGGTCTTTTCCTTTTCTCTTGTCCATGTGAGAGTTGTGAATATGGTATAAATGGTTTAAACCATTCCAATATTCCCTGAATCCTAGTGAACAGGATGATACAGGGGTGCGCCACTCCCCTTCTTCAGCCTCACGGGCCGCCCTGACTCTGAGCCAGCTTCTTCCTGCATGTGTAATGTAAGTTGGAATTTGGGCTTGGTTCCAGACATCTGGCTCTGGTCTTGGCTTTGTGTATATTAACACATTCACCATTGACATCTTTCCTTCCCTGAGCCTCTGGAGTCTCATACTACGTAAGATGAAGGGATCAGGTAGGTGTCTCCATATGGCTTTCTCCACTCCTAGATCACTTGAGCAGGTATTTATAGACTTACAAATTCATTGTGGATAGTTATCCTATTTAATTTTTAGGGGAATTTTTTTCCAGTTTGGTTTGAGATAAGCATCATGCTATATATGTCACAGGCTTTATTAAACATCAACTGTGATACTCTAAACACTATTGTAATGCAATTGTTGTTTTTCCTCTTTGCAGCTCATCTGTATGTTTGAGCCAGATGTAGACTTTTGTACTTGCTTCCTGAATTGGTTATCTAAAACAAGACACTACTCTATACTGAAGAAATAACCATAGCTCATTGAGGATATATCTTTGAGATTATACTATAGTATAAGCTGCATGTTATCTTATACCCAGAAATTACCAAAATGAAAAGTAGCATTTGAAGAATTTGGCTATTTTGAATAACTTGGCTTCCTGTGGTGGCAGACAACCTATGTTTCTGACTTGTTCTGAGATTCATATACCTTGGTAAGCTTACCGTCTGTATATTGTGCCCTTCTTATGCAGTTTGTTCTGTCTCCTTTGGCCACATACAGCCACAGACACACATTTGTTCAGATTGGAGGGGACCTGGACTTTTACCCCCTCAGTTTACAGGTAAGGAAAAGAAAGCCTGATCAGGTCCAGTGACTTGTCCAAGTCTACCCACGGCTACCTTAAAGATAAGGGCCTTATTTGCTCTTAACATTTCTTCCTTAAAACAAAATAAGTTAAGAAATCCTGAAATAGACTGGGCCTTGCAAAAGTGTAAACAATTTGCTTTTTGGGGTAGAGGAACTCCTAAATGTAATCTTTCTCTCCAACAGTGCACACTTAATTCCAGTACAAGTCAAAAAGTAGATTGTTGGTTTTTTTTTCTCACACCTTCTTCTCGTATCTGTCTCATTAAAAACCTTCTGCCACTTTAAATTTAAGTGAGCCAGCCAGTAGAATTCACTAATGTGCTGTTAAAGTTTTGCATCAGTGCCTAATACTTGCCACAGTTTAAAACTACTTCTTCATTTTTTGGTGTTTCTTTGTCCCTGCAACTTTTCCAGGGGTAGTGCAGTATGCGGATCTGCAGACAGAGCTCTCAGATCTGTATGGCCTGGAGCTGTCTACTGCTCAGTCTAGCCGTCACCTAGGTAACAGACACTCCACCAGTGAAACAGTCTGTCCAAGTGAGAGGAAATAAAAACTGAAACTGCAGCCGTTATTCTCTGCGCACATTAAAAAAAATGTTTCTTGATTTTTGAAAAGAGGTCATTTCACTTCTTTGTTGGGTTTTGGCCTCTGTGCCCCGTGTGTGATCCTCCAGTTTCCTGAATTACATGTGTATTTTTATAGCATATTTTTTTAAATGAAAGCAACGATATGAATGCAGCTGTTTTTATTTCTGAATGATTCCTAAGAAGGCTTCATTTCATATAAGTTTTTATGAACCACTAATAAGGCAAATGTATTCTACCACTTATTTGGTTAGGTTTTGTGAGTAGTCTTTTTTTTTTTAATGTCCCTTCCTGTGGGGGTGTTTTTCCGTTGGATGTGCTCTATTTCCTTAGTAACTGTTGCTCTGTTATGGGAGGGACTTAATGACATTTTTTCAAGTGCAATATTGAATTAATTTATTTCCTGGTTAGTCCTGCCCATCTTCGTAGTATAAATAGAACATCTGTGTAGTGTGTGTGTTTGATGACACTGGGCTTGCTGTAGAGGTGAACTCTTAATTATGTGGCTCAGGTTGACTCTGTGACCTTTCATCCTGGGTAAGTTATCTCGTTTTCTCCTCTTTCTTCTCTTGGCTTTTCTGGATTTGAATATTACTAGGCCTAAAGCATTTAGGTTTAGGGAGCTACCTGCCTCTCAGAAGTTGGGGAGTATTGTGGTTGGAGGGCAAGAGACCTGGTATACACACTGGGTCTCCTTGTTGGCATTCAGTTATTTCACCTCTGTGGAATAGAACTTTCTCTCTATAGTCCTGATAGGTAGGATTGGAAGTTACAGTTTCAGAGTAGCTTCTAAAAGCCTTAACTAGATAGTATATTCTGTGAAGTGTGAGTACAGTAGGGTCATTGCTTGTAATCACTGTCTCATCTTGACTGGTGAGGGAAGGAAAATCCCTTCCAGTCAATAGGATCAGAGCCAAATAGAGGACCAGCCTCTCAATATAAGAAATGCTTCTTGTCAGCCTCAGGGCTTCGGGTGGATTTATTTTGTAGGTATTTACTGAGCCTTCTCTATGCATTCAACTGCTTTTGTACTAGGAACAGTACTTAGGAAGCTTAGCACAACTGCCTTCATTCACTCTCCATTCATTCAGTCAATGTATGTTTACTGAGCACCTCCAGGCACCAGACTGTCTTAGATACTGAGGAGATTTAGAGAATCAACTAGTCACTGCCCTTGTCCTCAGGCAGTTAAGAGTCCAGTGGGAGAGGTAGATGTTAAGTGATCAAGACATCTGTAGGAAGTTCCAAGTATGGAAAGTACTGGGAAGCCAGATAAAGAACTGTTGGGATCTGTTTGATTAATTATGTTGAATGTTTTCTCTTATGCTTGTTGATTGTAAGTCTTTTGAGAAATGTTTAAGTGTTTAACCCATCTAAAAATCAGATTATTTGTGGGTTTTTTCTTTTGAGTTGTTTTAATTCCTTACATATTCTAGATGTTAATCCATTGTCAGATAGTTTGAAGATTTTTTTTCTCATTATGTATGTTGTATTTTCACTCTGTTGATTGTTTCCTTTGCTATACAGGAGGTTTTTAGTTTGATGTAATCCCATTTATCATTTTTAGCTTTTGTTGCCAGTGTCTTTAGGGTCATGTTTAAAGAAAAAAACAAAACCTTTGCCCAAACTAATATCTCCAAGTGTTTCCCTCTATTATTTCCTAAGTTTCTAGCCATATATATGTATTTCTTATTCTTGGTTCTGTGGCATTGATCTAGGTCTGGAGTTTCCTTCTGACAGTACCATGCTGTTTTGTCTAATATAGCTTTGTAGCCCATTTTGGATTCAGGTGCTGCAATATCTGCAGGTCTGTTCTTTTGGATTCAAATTGGATTTGAAGTCTTTTTAGTTCCATATATGTTTTAAGATTGTTTTATCTATGTGAAGAAGATCATTGGTATTTTAAGGGGAATTGCATGGAATCTCAAATTCACTTTGTATAGTATGGAAATTTTAGCAGCTCTTCCCAATCTATGAATGTGGATATCTTACTAATTTTCACTGTCTTCTTCAATTCATTTTATTATTTTTTGTAATTTTCATTGTAGAAATCATTTAATTTCTTAATTTATTCTTAGATGTCTTTAGCTTTTTGTAATTCTTGATTTCTTTCTTAGAAAGCTTGCATTAGTGTATGACAAATCATCCTAACTTTCATAGTTCATCTTATAACTTTACTAAATTTATTTATTGGCCCTAATAGTTTTTAGTGGCATCTTTATGTTTTCTTTTTTTAATTTTAACTTTTTTAATGTTACTGTAAAGGTGGTGTAGAGATCTTCATGTTTTTCTGCCTAAAAATCCATGTAATTTGCAAGTAGGGCCAATTTAACTCTGACATTTTAATTTTTTTTGATTTTTTGAAATTTTTATTGTCAAAGTGATATATAGAGGGGTAATGGTTACATACATAAGGTAGTGAGTACATTTCTTGACATTTTAATTTTTGATGCCCTTTATTTCTCTGGCTTACCACTATGTTGAATAAGAGTGGTATAAGTGGACATGGTTGTCTTGTTTCTGGTCTTAGAGGAAAAGCTATCAGCTTTCTCCTATGTAGCAGGATATTTTCTGTGGTCTTATATAGTTTTTCTTGTGATATGTCCCTTTTATACCTAATTTGTTGAAGGCCTTTTTTTTTATCTTGAAGGAATGTTGAATTTTATCAAATGCACTTTCTGCTTCTGATGAGATGATTATGTGATTTTTGTCCTTAATTTTGTTGAATTGTTATATTACATTTATTGATTTGCATATGTTGAATCATCCTGGTATCCCTGGAATAAATTCCATTTAATCATGTTGTAGAGAGTAACCTTTAAAAAGTGCTCTGTTCAAACCCTGAGTTTCCCTTTGTGGAGAGCTGATGGCAGTTGATATGAACTAAAAACCTCACTTGTATGATCTTAGGATCCAGATTCTTCAGGGTATGTATGGATCTAAGTAACTGGGGAAGGACTTTAGAATATTGTGGTCTTCATAGTTGTTCTTAGAGAGGCTTGAAGGAGTGGATGGCTGGGTACCCTGGGGATAAGGTGGAGCTTTAACCCTTTGTCATCTCCCCTTGACTGATGCCCCCAGTGCCTACTGAAGGGTGATGGGCAGGGCTGTAGGTGGCTTTTCTTTTGGTTTCTGTAGGTCTGTTAATCTTATGGTTCTGCAGGTCCTCAAGAACCTGACCTTTTTCTTTTTAATTTCAGCAAGAGCAGAGGTGAAGCACAGAGAGCAGCAGATCAGAACAGGCTGGGCTCCCTTGGTGAGGCTGAGGCTGTGGAAGATGCCGACTGCCGCGAGGCTGAGGAGGCCTGCGTTTTGAGGTGGGAGAGCAGGTCTCAGTGGGACAGCCTCTCCACTCCTGGGCTCACCATGGCTTCAGTGCTCTGGTTGGACAGCTGACGTGACCGTGTGCCCCACACGCTGCTGGACTGCGTGCCGTCCAGGTACTGCCTGCTCACAGGGTGTGGGAGCACGGCCAGTGGGCATCAGATGCTCCTGAAAGCTGGACCGGCAGAGCGATGGACTTGGACAGGCTAAGATGGAAGTGACCTGAGGCCTCGCCCAGGCAGTTTCCTCGTGACAGGACAGCTTAAGAGCCGAAACACAAGCTTGTCTGGGGAGCAGTATGCAGGAAGCTGGTTTTCAGGCCACAAATGCTTTCACAGGTGAGAGTCCTCCCCACTTACTTGGAGGTTTTTGTTTCAATTCTTCGGTTGAAACAAAACACCAATAATTGCATGGAATGAATACATTCATAGTTACAAGCTGAACGCCATTCTCAGTCAAGGGTTCAGGTTGCTACTGGGATTGGTTTTGACAGAATTATAGTATGTTTTCTGTCTTTCTGTACATGGGAATGTGAAAACATATTTGATATTTTAATGAGTTTGTTTTTGTTGAATGATAGGACATACGATATCCTACAATTTCTAGAGTTCTTTCCATATATTCTCTAAGGAAAGGTATTATTTGGACCGTGTGTGTAGGAGATTAAAAAAAAAAAAAACGAAGCTAGGAAAACTCCATGGAGAAAGTTAACTGCTGCTGAGTGACCTCTCTCCTTCCATCCTTAGTTTACTTCCTCAGTATTATTTGTGTGCCAGTGGTGGTGGGGGCCAACTTGGCTGAGCTAACTTTCCAGTTAGGATAGCACTCTTAAAATGAGCTGATGGAGAAGCTGGACGTGACAATTTAGTGTCAATTTGCCCCCTCGCTGCCAATTTGCACATTTTGTGGGGAACCACTGAGTCTGGCTGGTGCCCAGAGCCATGGCCTGAGACACAGAGGCTTTTGAATTTGGATCCTGCCTCTTTGTTTGATTCACTTAACATCCCAGGAAGCCACATAATCCTCTGGGCCTCTGGCTCCTTGTTTACAGACCAGCAACTGTGAAGCTGAGGAATCTCATGGAGTCTAGGGAAAATGTTTTTACACCAAAAGGTCTTTTTGGTTTGTGGCTTTTATTGAAAAGGAAAGATAGTAGAAATAATTATGGAAAGTGGCTAGGTTCTTTGGTCTTATAAGTCCTAAAAAGTGGTAGTTTTTCAGTGTTTTGTAGAAAGAACAAGTCGGGTTAATGGGGTGCCTGGAGAGAGGCCACATGGGTTTAGACTGGAATCTGCTTCCTCCATTATGTACATCTGAATTCCTTGACATGTCCTACTGTTCCTTTCTTTTTCTCTTTGCTCATCTGTAAACCAGGTTCCTATTCTGTGGGAGGATGAAGCAGCAGTAGAAGATGCTGAGCACACAGTTCTGAGGTGGAGTCATGTAATGTGGAGTTAAGTTGCCAAGCCCAGCTCTGGAAACTCCATATTTTCCATGAGGGCACGTGGGCAAACTCCAGGGGCCTCTTAGATTCCTGTGTGCGATGTTGGAGCCTTAACAACAGTGTTTCTGTAATGGAGTTGTGATAGAGGAAGGCCATGCTGCAGTGGTCATGGTCTGTGAAAATGAGCTCAATAGTTTTTAAAAACATCTTCTCAAATGAACACATAATGAAAGTTGATGATGGTTCTAGAGTCTTTGTAGGCTTCAGTTCCTGACTTCTATCATTGCTTAGCATGTGCACTTCAGCTGGTTTGGTCTCCTGAGCTGCTTCTTCATGGAAATTCATTTCTCCTTTGACATGGATGGGAGTGGCATAAAGCACCTCTGTGAATTGGCTTGCTGTACCTCTTGACCTCCTTGATACACGGGAAGGTGGCTTGGGAGGAAAGGCATCTTAAAGAAGCTCTACAAAGTTCACAGTCCTGAGATGATGCACAAAGGAGGAGAGATGGACATAAAGAACCTGCGGAAGAGTAGTCCCACTTGAATTCCTCCCAGTCCCTAGTCAGGAGCCTCCCATTGCTGTCACTGTCCCACAAGGGCGTGCACAGCTTGCACAGTTCTTTCTGTTTGTTTCCCGAGGCATTGCCATGCACTTCTCACCCTCCTGAGCCTGCCAGTGGTTAACTGTGGCTTATTCTTAGCCACATCTTGGTCTTCATCACTATTTCGGGGACTTATAGCTCCTTTATACCATGGGAAAAGAAGCTCAGGCCTTTCTAAGGCTCTGTTTGGAATTAATTAGAATCTCTAGGTTCTGCCTGGGACAGTAAGTGGGACGGTGCTTCATATACATTAAGACCAAAGTGAAGCTTGCTGCTAGTGGCTCCTGCCAGTTATCCTACTAACTGAGGAGGCTAAGATCCACGTGATCATGGTTGGGAAGCCAACTGGGCAGAAAACATGACATCATCTCCAAAATAACCAGAAAAATGCGAGGCTGGAGATGTGGCTCACGTGGTAGAGCACCAGTTGTGTGAGCACATGGCCTTGAATTCAAAGCATGGTACTGGCCCTCAAACATTTCCTCTCCCCTCACCCCCCAAAAGAGCAAAGTGAATGACAGGAGTTGTAATTATCACTGCAGCTCATCCCTACAACTTCTCCATCCTCTATATACTTACATACCTTAGTTCATAATTTACCTAATAACATCATTTGGTTTCTTCCTCTTCCTAGTTGTCAACATGCCTAAATAACAGTTGTGCTAGTAGTAGTGGTAGTAACAATGGTGATGGTGTAGCAGCAGCAGCAGCAGCAGCAGTAGCAGCTGCAGTAGTAGTAAAATACTAAGTATGATTGCTAAACCACAGAGCTCACAGCTTATGAGTGTTGTGTACTTCTTCTTTTCTCTCTGTTTTCACAACTCAGGAGCCAAATAATACTGGTTAGGCCATGAAAGATACTTAGTAGAGCCAAGGGTTAGAGGGTCAGCTGCCTCTAAATCTAGTAGCATGTATAGCTTTGGCTATATATTAATCTCACTAGGGAACTGTATTGATGCTTAGGTTTTACCCTCAGAAATTGAGATTTTTTTTTAAATTAGCCTCAGCATTACCTGTACTTGATAAATCAAGACCTTTATCTTAACAAGATCCCAGGTGCTTGCTATACAATAAGTCTTAGAAGTCCTGAGAGCTAGCATTAGAGAAGTCAAGTGTGGGTTGGGAGAGTCAATTCTCAAACAGACTTGTACCATTCCTTCAGCAGGGATGATTGATTTGACTAATTTGTTTATTCTTAGGAAGCTACCAAGTATTCAGTATTGTTTATCATATCACATGAGTACCTTCAAAATGATGATTTAACCTCTCCACATTTCTCTAGGGAATAAAGAAGGGATCCAATAAGGGAGGTATAAGTACCTGGCCTTCCCTGTAGTCCCTGCAAATTTGGCTCCTCATTTAAGTTTTTTTAATACATTTTTTATTGTAAAAATAGTGTACAAAGCGGTTACAGTTACATAAGTAAGGTAATGAGTACATTTCCTGTCAAGCATTGTTACCTCCTCCTGTTTTCCCCTACCATCTCTTCCTTTCCCACCTCCCCAACTCCTCCCTCCCTCCCCACCACAAGTTGTAAAGTTTGTTTTCAATATAGTGTCTTGTACATCTTATTGTTACAATGGGTCATCCTGTATCCTTTTTTTTGTCGGTTGTGGGGCTTGAACTCTGGGCCTGGGCGCTGTCCCTGTGCTCTTCAACTCAAGGCGAGTGCTCTACCTCGAGCCACAGCACCACTTCCAGTTTTCTAGTGGTTAATTGGAGATAAGAGTCTCACGGACTTTTCTGCCCAGGCTGGCTTTGAACCGTGATCCTCAGATCTCAGCCTCCTGAGTAGTTAGGATTACAGGCATGAGCCATGAGTGCCTGGCCCTGTATTCCTTTTTTAAGCATTTTGTTTTTCCCTTCCTCTCCCTAAATTAGAAAAGTGCATATACAAGATGCAGGGCATCAGAATCAAATACAGTGAAAACAGGTTATACCATGGGAGAGGCTCATTTTAGTTTTTTTTGGTCTGTTATTCTGATCTTTGTTTGCTAACATCGCTCTACTTATGAGATAAAAGGGCTGACTCTCCTTGTCCAGGTAGCCAAGTAAAGCTGGTTCTTAATGTATTTAAAGTTGACAATCCAATGATTTTTGCTAATTTTCTGGGATAATAGAAAGGATTATTGCCTGAAATGTCCTAAATGTTAAAGGAGTTAAGGCACTTCAGTTTGGTTTTATATCTTGGTTTAGGTATAAAGGAAATGTCACTAAGCTGTTTACTATACCCACACTTAAAAGAAATTGATCATATTATATTTATCTTTGGAGATACAGGTTAAAGAGGCTATAGTCTGGATGCCAGAGGAATGGGTGACCCACCTCAAATTCATGTTTACATGGTCAGGGCACTGTTTGTTTGGAGTGTGTACAATTGCTCTGAAATGTGGAAGCTTAGGAAGCCCCTGCCCCTTCCTCCCCGACTGTGTGGTTACAGTCTAAGCATAACTTGCTTCTTGGGTGAGTGTAAATATACTATTATTGATACATATTGCAGATCAACTTTCTAATTAAAATTCTCTTAGTATAATCCTTATAACTCCTTGTATAACTACTTAAAGATAATAAAAGTTCTAAAAAATAAAAATTATGCATTCTTCAGGTTTTCTCAGAACAAAAAATTTAGAAATGATTTTTAGTCAGTTAGATACTACTTTATAACAAAAATTATTTTTTTCCTTTTTTGGAAGTCTGTTCATTGTAAGAAAAATTTGGAAAGCATGATGAAGTCAAAAGAAGGAAAAGAATTATACAATCATGTTGTATGAAGCTTCCCATTGTGAATGTGTTGACTTAACTTGCATCCTTTTATTTGTCTCCTGTGTAAAGTTCTTTTTACAGAAATATGTTTATTATATGCAATTTTATAACTTGACTTTTAACATATATTATTATTACTATTAGCTTTATAAATATGATTTTAAGGTGCTACAGAATAATCTCTTCTGTATATACTCTTGGATTTTGATTATTGTCAAAATAGTACAAGTCCTATTATTCACTAGTACAGTTTTTCTCCCTATAAACAATGCTTTGGAAAGCACCTTTGTGTGTAAAAGCTCTTCTATGTATTTGATTATTTCCTTAAATAAGCTACCAGATGCAAATACTTGGAACTAAAGATATGAACTTTAGTAAAGTTTATGGTTGAATTTTCAGATGGGTTGGTTGCCACCTGACTTTTGAGACTGGTGCTTTCAGTTACAAGGTATTTATAGTGGGCGTGTTCACCATTTAGCTGAAACAAAGTGACTCTTCCCTGCCTTCCAACATACAGCTGTAAACAC